TTATAACGCACCCACGGTCCCGCAGCGCGGAGCAAATTTTTATTATCATCATTTTTTTTTTATTCTGAGATAACAGGGTGCAAACCACGAAACCTCAACTCCACAGTCCGGCACACTAACCACTTGACCGGACTTGACCCATATGTTGAGTAAGAAGATCAAGGGGAGAACAACAGGAAACTTACATGGTCTGGTTATTAGGGTGCTTCACTCGCGGGTTCGAACCCCTTCACCGAACATGCATCCTCTTTCAGCCGTGAGGGTGTTATAATGTGACGATCAATCCCACTATTTGTTGGTAAAAAAGCACTCCAAGAGTTGGCTGTGGGTGGTGTTGACTAGCTGCCTTTCCTCTAGTCTTACACTGCTAAATTAGGGACAGCTAGCGCAGATATCTCTCGTGTAGCTTTGCGCGAAATTCAAAACAAACCAACAAAACAAAATGGGAAAATAGTTATATTTCTATGGAGGGAAACAACAGGTAAATGGTAATATTTTTATAACAAGTAGCAACAGGTAGATGGTGATATTTTTATAGAGTGTAGCAACGAATGGCTATGTTTCTGTTAAAGCATAACAAAAAAGGATGTTTAGTCTTTTGTGAAAAATAGGGTTGTACGAGACTTAGTGGTTAACTTGCTAGGCTGCGAATTGGAAAGTACAGTGTTCAAGACATGATATGCCACTGAACTCGTTAAGCACTTTCATCTATAGAAGTGTTATGACAGTTAGTCAATCCTGTTATTTGGTTAAGAGTAGCCGTATAGGCGGTGGTGCTTGTGAAGTGGACATGTTTGAACCTCGAAGTCTCTGACCTGACCGTTTAGCTCAAATATCGCATAAAGTTTGGGTTAAGAATACAAAATACCATAAGTTATGTGGAGCGTTATAATAGGTGAACAGTTATATTTCCATACAGGGTAATTACAGTCAAATAATATTATTTCTATAGCGAGGAAAAATAGGTGAGAGGTTATATAGAGCATTAGAACAGAAAAAAATGGCCATTTTTAAGTAAAAGTAACAAGGGATTGGTGGATTTATATATTCAGGGGTAATAAGAAATTATGTTTAAATTCGTATTGGAAATAACCGTAGGTAAATAAGCATTGTTGGAAATCTTTTCATTTAGATTCGTATCGGTATAAAGTAACTCGCCGCTACAACCAGGATTGAACCAAATAAACACGCATTTATTATACTTTGGCAACCACAGAAACCCACAGTGTGACTTTCAAGCTACTGAAATATAAAAAACACACTAAAAAAATATGTACCAGGCCAGAACTTGAAACTAACGTTAATGAACAATACAATATAAAATCCAGGTTAATGAATCTTTCAATATAAAAAGGAATCAGGAAAGTAAAAACACAAATAGAAAAAAATTAATTCCAAAATAACAATATTCCATTATATTTAAATCACAAAACTTCA